GGGTTCAGGTGCCTCGGCCCGAGACAATGTGTTTTTTGCAATTTAGCTAGTTAATTATATTTATGAACAGTGTTTTAAAAAAAGATTAACATCCAACCTTAACTTAGTTGGTCTAGTGGATTGCAGTTGGTCATAGGTAGTTCTTTCGGTCACTAGTTTGAATGTACCAAGTCAATTTTTTTTATTTTTATTTATCCTTAAAAAACTTTTAATAAGAAATCATTGTAATGTCATGTTAAGAATTTGACATATTGAGTGTATTATTATTAAAGCTTAGATCTTCGATATATAATTGTTGTTTAGTAGTATGATGAATGTTTTAATTGCTTGAGATAATGTTGAAATCATGGAGGAGAACGTGAATTAGTGGGGACATAATAGTTTGATTAAATAGAAGTTATTTTAAAATTAAACTTTTTGGAGCTTACTAAACGCATTCATTCAATGCATTCTATATTGAAAAACATTTCTTTAAATTATTGTTATTGAAATACCAAAAACGCTAAGTGATTCTTTTTGCAAAAGTTACATCTTTTTGCAAAATAAAAAAATAAAAAAAAAATAAAAAAGATGGCATGCCGAACCAGGTACGTCCGGGCCCGGATCTGGGCAGGGCATTTTGACCGGCCTTGAACAGGATTTGGGGGCCAGGCTTGCCCGCTTGAACACCCCTACCTATATGCATAGGCGCTCAACTCCAACATTATTAATTGTTGCGAATATCACTTGTTTGTTGTTTGGATTAATGCATATAACCACAGGCTGATTGATGTATATCAAACTAAATTTTCCTTTACAGGACTAAACTGAAGCAGACTGAAGTCGAATGTGAGGTTTTGAAGAAATGCTGCCAGAGCCTGAGCGACGAAAACCGTAGATTAAAGAAAGAGTTACAGGAGTTGAGATCGTCGAAGTCAACAGGCTCTTCTGTTTACGTCCAAATCCCCAAAACTACGACGATTCGAATGTGTCCCTCGTGTGAATCGATCTCACTCAATGATGAAACTAAGAACAGCAGCCACGGACAACCTCAAGTCCTGAGATTGTGTCAATAGAAGGACAATATTAAATACCTGTAAAATCGATAATTACTACATAGTCAAGAATAAGTTCTAAATTTCTTTGCACTTTAATACCTCGAAGTTTCACTCTCTTTTAAGTTTGAAACTCCGAACTTCTATATTGATAACTGAGTCTCCAAATCAGTGTTTCCAACAGGAACCCATATCCACAACCCAGCCAAATTTATAGAATTTTGCTTCATGCATTTTGTCAAGAGTAATTTTTGGACATTCTTGCATACCTCTTGCTAGATAGGTTAATGTAATCTTTTTGTGTATTCTACTCTTTCACCTTTATGATAATAAGGGCTAAGGCCCTATTTTCTCTCAGAAATCTTTTTTCTTCCCAAATTGACGTTAATTTGATAATTTGACACCTATAACACTAAATTTGTTCATCACAGAAGCTAATGGTCTTTTTTTCTTCAAGATCTCTTTAGAAGTTCTTAATAGATGGTGGAGTTAGAGCTCAACATGATATCTGTCTAGTTTTACTCGGTAACTTGAATACCAGAGACCTATATATGTTGCAAGAGTATTTCTAATTAATCTGAAGCTGTACCCGCACCCGACATGTACTTGTACCCTATTCGTACCCAAACCCATTGGACACTCCTTGCATAAATGCATCCATTTATTTGGGAATATACTCAATGATATATATTACATATTTTAATTTAATTAAAACAATTGTCATATATTTTTTGGACATATATCTTATATGTCACATCCACTTCTTGAAACTTGTTGGACATAGGTTAAGTTTCCACCAAGTTTCGAATTATGATTTTGAAATGTTGTTTGGATGTCTAGTTCAAAAACCTAGTGATCTTTCAATTTATAATCCACATACAATAAAAGAAACATAAAAAACGTTATAAAAATTTCAATTCTCTCATTCTTGTTCTCGTATAGATTATTAATTCTAATATATAATATATGTGTATATAATATATTTGTTAGAGTTATGGACTCAATGGAGACCTAACACTTTCAAGGTGAATGCCAAAAAAAGAATGGGATGCTCTAGGGCTGTCCATCCGGGCCGGGCCCGGCCCGGCCCGGAAAACCGGGCCCGGGCCGGGCAAAACCCAAGCCCGGGCCCGGGCCTGAGCGGGCCGGACACCGGGCCGGCCCGGTTTGATTTTTTTTTAGAATTTTTTTTTAAATTTTAACAAAACCATAAACCATAAATTATTATAAAAAATGTCATAAATTTAATTAATAGCTTGAAATGAAATGACATAAATTACAAGTACAAAAAATGATAAAAATAACTTCTTTATTAATAATCGGTAAATCCTTTACAAATCCTTTACAAGTATAAATTTATTTCAAAATTCGTCGCATCACAATAGATGAGTACATCCCAACTAGGTTGGCACCTACTCACCCATATCACTATCATTTGCAACTTTTTTCGAAATAATTTAATTCAAATTTAAAGCTAAGAAAACAAAATTACAATTTTATGAATATTATCTAATCATTATATCTATCTGCTAGTCCTAACTCTTCAAATTTATCTTCAATCATAGCAATCCGTTCGATGCCTTGTGTTCGCTTCTCGTATCTCCACCAATCCTGTAAGCACATCACCGCTTGTACAGTATACGGATCTAAGCATGTCCTGTGGTCGTCGATCAAACGTCCTGCTGTGCTGAAAGCGGATTCCGAGGCTACAGTCGAAACCTGCACTGATAGTAAGTCACGAACCATGGTGGAAAGTATAGGATATGAAACTGATCCATATACTTTCCACCATTGCAAAATATCTAAAGCATTTCCTTGACATCTAACTAAAGAAGCAGAAAAATATTCATCTATTTCAGAAACATCTAATCCTGATGAAGTTCCAGATCCACCAGTTAGTTCAGCTACCATTGCATACCTATCAAAACTTACACTTTTACCTCGACCTGTGCTCGAAGCTGAAGGTGCCGAAGCTGAAGACTGTTGTGTAGCTACACCATATCTAGCTGCATACTCATCATATAAGGTTTGAAAATAATTTCTAATAGCTAAATAATGAGTAGTAGCAGTAAGGGTGGATCCATCATCTAAGTCTATAATCTGTCCACCATACAATGATTGTAACAAACTTCGAAGGCCAATTTCCTTCAAGCATGGATCAATAAGAACACCAATACCAAAAATATGAGGAATAGGCCTAAAATACTTATTAAATTTACTCTCCATTTCAAAAATTATACTTCCAAAAATATCATCCATACGATATTTTGTAAAAAAATTTTGAATATTTAAAATTTGTAAAGCAGCTAAAGTAATAGTTGGATAATAACAACCAGATAATAACATAGTAGCATCATAAAAAACTTGTAACATCTCATTTAATTTACATATAACTGTCCATTCATCTTCAGTTATTCCATAAGCACTACCAGAGCTAGAACTAGAAGCATAAAAATTTATAAAATCATTTATAATTTCTTTATATTCTATTGCTACAGATAACATTGCATAGGTGGAATTCCACCTATGGTCAACATCTTTTGGAATTAGTCTAGGCTTATAATTTTTTCTTTTACAACATTGTTTCCATCTTTTAATTCTCATTTCAGAAGCATTATGCATATTAGTAACTGTTCTAACTTTTTCTATCATGGGTTTAATTTCAGAAAATGCACTTTGAACAATTAAATTTAAAATATGACAGATACATCTAACATGAAAAAGCTCACCATGACATGGCAATGACAAAGTTATTTTCAGAAAATCAACAGCTACATTATTATTACTTGCATTATCTAGTGAAAGAGTAAATATTCTTTGATCAATTTCTAGTTTCATAAGTTCTTCAACAATTAAATTTGCAACATTAATACCAGTGTGTGACTCTTCAATTGCAATAAAAGAAACAACTCTTTTAAACATTTTCCAACTTTCATCAATCCAGTGTGCTGTTATACATAAATAACCAGTTTGCACTCTAGATGACCAAATATCAGAAGTTAAAGAAAATTTGCAGTTTAAATTTTTAAAATAAGAAATTATTTTTCCCTGTTCCTCAACATAATATTTTAAAATATCACGTTGACAGGTTTGACGAGAAAATTTTGTAAATGCAGGATAAAAACCATCTCTAAATAAATCTTCAAATTCATCATCTTCTACTAATTTAAAAGGAAGGTTTTTAAGAACAATAAACCTGATTACGCATTTCCGGGCTCGGGCAGCGTCATAATTCCAACTGCCGAGGGTACCTGAAGAGGATGATTGGGAAAGCATAGACTGCCGGATATCACCTTGTAGATTTTGGCCTTTGTTGTGTTTTTCAATATGCCGTTTGAGATGGTTGGTGCCGCTCTTATGATGAGCTTTGAATATCTGGCCGCACAACGCACATTTCGCATTCTGAGAGATGATCCTACCGTGTTCATCCTTGGTGACGTCTATCTTCTCAAAAAAATTCCATACATCAGACCTCGGCCTTTTTGGAGCTCTTGGTGCCGTAGATTCGTCGCCACCAGATTCAGGATTAACACCGGTAGGATGAGGAGTTGTTGTAGGAGGACTCATCTCTGGATCGGTAGGAGTTGCATGTTGCTCTTCATAATCAGACCCAGAAGCCATTTGTTGGAAGTATTAGAAAATACAAAAGATTATAGGATAGTATATTAGTATGAGATAGTATAAGATTGTATAAGAGAGTAGTAGAGAGAGAAATAGATGAGTTTTGTTGTGAGAAAATGAATTGAAACCCCCCCTCTATTTATAGAAGCAGCCCCCTAGGTAAATGACCAAAAAACCCTCGTTCGGCCCGGGCCGGGCCGGGCTGGCCCGGCCCGGACCGGGCAACGGTCACCTTTGTGACCGTTCGGCCCGGGCCGGGCCGGGCTGGCCCGGCCCGGACCGGGGTCAACGGTCACGTTTGTGACCGTTATGGCCGGGCCGGACCGGCCCGGCCATTCGAAGCCACAGTGCCTTTTTTCGGCACTGTTCCGGGCCCGGGCCGGGCCCGGACGTGGCTCGCCAACGGCGACCCGGGCCCGGGCCCGGACCCGGGTTTTGCCCGCTCATCTCCATGCTCGGGGCTGGTGTACAAGGCAGAGGGAGGAATAGGAAAATTTTCATGCACAAACACATGCACTCGCTTGGTATTTGGAAGCTCATCTCCATGCTCGGGGCTGGTGTACAAGGCAGAGGGAGGAATAGGAAAATTTTCATGCACAAACACATGCACTCGCTTGGTATTTGGAAGAAAATTTGTTACTTACTTAGCTTCCTTTTGGCTAGGCATTAATTCCATCTCAGGCTATTATCGCACGTGAAGATGAAGGGCCTGTTGGATCCCTTATGGTGCAAGGGTCTACATGGTGGCAGCTGCTGCTCAGGTTCATCAAGCCTTGTAGTTATGGATGTTGGTTTGGGTGTAGACCAAACCTCGATTCAGGCGAGGTTGATCGACTTCATGTTTGCGGTGAAAGTTGATTTCTTCATTGCTGAATCTATTACACGTTTATCGATTACAGATTCAAAGTAAAATTAGTCTTTTTATAAGACTTT